GGCAAAATTTAGCGATTCAAAGCGTCCGCTATTGCGGATTGTCCGTTATGCAAGGCTGTCCGTTATGCGGGGGTCACTGTATATCCATGGGCGGGAGGGAAAGTGGAATAAGACTCTTCCTCCATAGCCATGCGAATTGTAAAAGTCAACTAAATGCAGAAAAACAATGGGGCTTGTAACCCCTTTTCCTGTAAAAATTACTAAAAAGAATAAGAATAAGAAAATTATCCAAAGTGGGAAGTTCTGAATGTGCGTGGTAATGTTGTGCAAATGATAAAAAAGAGATGATGTGGTTGTTACGTATGAAAAGAAGCTGGGATTGTCTGGATTTTAAGTGGAAAACAAAGCTGAAGGGGGTGGTAGGAGAGTGGTAGGAGAGCTTTCAGTGGAGAGGAATAATGTGACTAGGTCAGGGGTTTTCAAATTGTGTTAGAGCTAAAAGAAGAGCTAAGCAATAATGTTTGAAGGATAAGTTGTATGGCAGGATAAAGGTGGATGTGAAAAGAGGGTTATAGTAAACAATATATGCACTGGAGAAGAGGAGAAGTGTAGAGGAGAGAGAGTGATTTTGGGAAATGTTGAGTGAATGCATGGGAGTTTTGAACCAGTGTGAGAGTAATATGTGGTTTTGGGATTCATGGCCTAAGGGGGCGAAGAAATGTTGTGGAGAGAGTAGTATGTTAAATTTGGGCGGTGCCAGGGGTAATGAAAATGAGAGAGCCTTTAAATTGAGCTATGTTGTAGAAAGAGGTATTTTGTATAAGTAATACATATTTTATGAAAGAAGATGATACATATTATACAAGGTATGATAATAGCACATAATGAAAGTAGTTTGTCTAGATTATGTTTTGGTGGTAAAAGGTAGGTGGGTAGGCTCAGGATGTACACGTTTATAGTTCGAGGGGCAACTGATATATTGTGTTCATTATTTAGTTTGTAGCTCAGTTTGAGTAAGACGGTGATGGGGACAGAGGAAATGGCAACCAACAAAAGCAAGAGGGAGGTGAAAGGTGTATAAAATAAGGGAGGAGAAGTTCGGGTGAGATCTAAGCAGACTATTGCAGATAAGGTGGGCTGGTGCCAGTATGAGTAGTGGGGGGGGGGGGTGGGGGTGATTGGAAGAGGGGTTGGAATAGTTTTAAAAAATGCATATTAGAATGTGGGGCAGAAGTTTTGTGGTTATAGGATGGGTTGGGTGCAGGAGGAAAGAGGAGTGATTGTGGAAAATGATGAAGGTATAGAGTGTGATAAAAGAGAAAAAGTTAAATTATGAGATGTTTTTACAAAGCCAAGAAGTGTAATAAGAAGAGCGGTCGTATATGAGAGAGTAATAAGAAAGGTGAAGAGAGTGGTTGAGAGGGAGTTCAAATGGAGGGCAGATGATAGAGTGGGAGAGGCAACTGTCACGAAATTTTAATGAAATAAGAAAAAATTTTGGAATGCGTAAACAAGTTAAGGGAAAGCCTAGAGATAGAGAAACGAATGTGACTTGTCAGTTAAAAAACAGAGTAGGGGAGTAGTTAGATGGGGGATGGAAGTTTTAGGTCAGATGGCGGAGAATATTTTGAGGAACTTTTAAATGTCGACGAAGAAAGGGAAAGCGGTAATTTCATGCACTGGCCAGGGAGGTTTACCATCTTGTGGAGTGAAGTAGAACATAAAGCAGCTGGAAACTGACGGGATCATGACAGAATTGTTTAAGCAGGGGGAGTTATAGTGTTGGAAGTGGTTGGTATTTTTCCTTTAATAAAATGTATGAAAAGAGGGGAGGACCTAGGGATTGGCAGGACGTGAGCATGTATAGTCCCTTTATTATAAAGGGAAGGGGTACAAAAGAGATAGTACAAAATTATAGAGGAATAAGTACTGAGTTATAACCAGGAAAAAAAAAAAAGTGTACGTAGGGTTATAATTGAAAGAATTAGAGGTTATAAGGCAGAATGAGGATTGCGGTGGGCAGGAGGTTTCAGAGTGGGTAGGGGATGTGTGATCAAGTGTTTATATGAAGCATATAGGTGAACAGTATTTAGATTAAAGGTAGGGAAGATTTTATTGTATTTATGGATTAGACAAAGGCATATGATAGAGTGGATATAGGAGCAATGTGGCAGATGTTGCAAGTATATGGAGGGAATAGCGTGGCAGTACTCAAAGGCTGTAAAGAGTTTTTATGAGGATAATGAGGCTCAAGTTAGGGTGTGTAGAGAGCAGGGAGACTCTTCCCAGTAAAAGTAGCTCTTAGCAGGGATGTGTAATGTCACCATGGTTTGTTTAATTATATTTATAGATGGGGTTGTTAAAAGAAGTAAATGCTAGGGTTCGGTAGAGGGTGGAATTAAATATGGGGAATCAAATACAAAAATGGGATTGACACAGTTACTTTTTGTTGATGATACTTGTCCTTATGGAAGATTTTATAAAGAAAAAAATTGCAAAGGTTAGTGGATGAGGTTGGAGTGTGTGTAAAGGTAGAAAGTTGAAGGTGAACATAGAAAAGAGTAAGGTCGATGTGGGTATATCAAATGAATTTAGATAAGAAAAATTAGGATATCAATTTAGGGACGGAGGAGTATGGAAGAAGTGAATGTTTTCAGATACTTGTGGAGTTGACGTGTTGGCGGATCTGGATTTATGAAGGATTATGAGGCATAATCATAGGAAAAGGGAAAAAAGGTGATGTGGTGAATCGAAGGTATATGTGGTTGACAAAAAAACGTTATCTATGGAGGCAAAGAAGGTGAATGTATGGAATGTATAGTAGTACCAACACTCTTATATGGGAGTGAAGCTTAGGATGTGAATGCGCAGCGAGGTGGTGGTTGGAAGGCAGTGGAGATGTCCTGGTCTAAGGGGCAATGTGTGGGTGTAAATTATCATGCAGAATATTCGGAGTATGGAAATTAGGAGGTGTGGAGTTAATAAATGTATTACTCAGAGGGTGAAGAGGGTTGTTGAGGTGGTTTGGTCATTTTAGAGAGAATGGATCAAAGTGAATGAATGGAGAGCGTTATAAATCATGTATAGGAGGAAGGAAAAAGACAGGGTAGGGGTGTCCTCCGAAAGGTTGGAAGGGAAGGGGGTGTAAGGGAGTTTTGTGGGCAAGGGGGCTTGGACTTCCAGCAGGCTGTGCATGAGCGTGTTCTCGATAGGACCGTGAATGGAAACGAATGGTATTTGGGACCTGACGATCTGTTGGAGTTGTGAGCAGGGTAATACTTAGTGAAGGGATTCAGGGAAACAGTTATTTACTATATAGCGGACTTGAGTCTGGGAAATGGGAAGTACATTGCCTGCCTCTAAAGGAGGGGTTTTCGGGATATTAGCGGTTTTGGAGGGATAATGTTGTGTATCTTTAAATGATATTGCTTCTGAACTGTTGTGTTCTGAGCACCTCTGCCAAAAACGTGATTATGTGTGAAGTGAGGTGAAAGTGTTGAATGTTGATGAAAGTATTTTCTTTTTGGGGATTTTCTTTCTTTTGGGCCCACCCTGCCTCGGTGGGAGACAGCCGACTTGCAAAAAAAAAAAAAAAAAAAAAAAAAAAAAAATATTAAATAAGATATCTTGACATGTCATATAAGTTATTTTCTTATATTCCTTCAATAGTGCATTTTGGTTTGATTCATGTGTGTGGTGTGTGTGTGCCATAACTGCCAGAAATACTGTAACCAAGCCTTAAGCCTGACCAATTCATAATCAGTTTGTTCAAATTGCAGTTGCTCATAAATTGTACCTTGTTCATGCTTCTAATTGCATTCCCATAACATTCAGTTTCATTATTCTATTTGCTCTAGTATTTTCCTAATCTAGACACAGGAATACATAAAGTTATATTCTACATTATTCTTCAGGGGTACTTTTCTTGGCTAACATATCAACTTTTTCCTGATGAAGGAGCAATCCAGTGCATACAGAATCCACAACAATTGTACATTAATTTCTTTTCCAGATTTTTGAGCATCTATACATAGCTTTTCCAATGAGCATGTTGCTAGTCACTATTGAGTCAAGAGCCTTCCAGTGATTGACATAAATATCAGTAATGATGAATGTGTCAAGCTCATTATCGTAAGTTAGCTTTAACACCATTAGGATGGCAAACAATTTGAAGCCAATGAAAACGTGGAACACCTAAAAAGGAAGGTGTTGTATTATATGGGGCCCTTCAGTACTGCAGTTGTAGGAAATAGTACACACATGCCTGGTTTTGGTTTACAAAGTTATTTAAGAAGGGTGCCCAGCACTACTCTGTATGAATTGTATAGGCTGTTACTGACAGTCCATAGTTTGTTGATCAAGACTGTTCTGTTCATCAGATATTCTTACTTCATTCCGGATACCTTGTCAGCACTCTGGCATTACTCTGTCTGTTTGTGTTCTGAGTGTCTTGCCTCATAAGCAGATTATCTTTTGATTTCTTTGTTGACATTCCATCATTCTTAAAATCATAACATGAGTTCAAACCTCACCCACTCTGTGGTTTGACATCAGTCTGATGTATTAACTTCGAATCAACCCTTCCCCTTTCCCTCCTTGTCCTCTTTCAACAACCCAAATTCTTCTACCATCTCTCACCCTTGCTATGTGACACTCAACGACCCATGTGGGTTAAGCGTTTGCGTCGAGTACAAAAATAATCAATGCAAATATATTTTCTAAAAAAATTATTAAGTACATATTCCTCCCCATTTATTAGTACAATATCATATGCATTTTTTAGCCACCTTCTTATATCTGCCATTTCAAGTATTATATGCGCTTCTTTTCCCATGTGTCAAGACAAGCAAAATTATTGTTAGCAATTTCTTATCATTAGTGACATTTCTCCCATTGTATTTTCTAGAGTGGTCAGTTAGCTTAAAGCACAAAGATCAAGTGCCATCACCAGTTGTGTTAAAATAATACATTACAATTAAAAACAAAAGCTATATTGTAGAAAGCTTTCAAATCACTGTGAATGCACTTAAAATAGTTTTATCAGTTTTATGATTTCGCAGCTGCCAAGAAAAGCCAAGTATCCAGACTTCATACGACTCCAGCCCAGCCAAGAAAAGTGTACTAAAAGTGACCAGGATATTGAAGTGTTTAAGCCAAGATTCAGACCCACTGTATCAGTATCCACCATCATACCAAGCATTGGGGAAAGAGAACAAGGTAAGAAATTTGCTTGGACAATATTTCAAAGATTTTGGACTCTGATCATTATTATACTGTATTCATGGAAAGTGTTAAGCTCATAAGAGTCCTGCAGCAATATACAGTGGTTAATAAAAGAGGAAGATGGGTGGGAAAGAGAGGCACAAGGTTGTTGAAATAGCAGTGGTAACCAGAGTTCCGAAAAGCCACTGTCATGTGTACTCAATAGATATCATTTGGCCAATGTAACAGGAATCCCTGATTATAAAACACTTCAAGTTATGGTGATGCACAATTAAGTTCCGGAGTCAAAAAAAAAATAGAGGAAAATACATTATTAAGTTACTGATCTGCACTTACGAGCATTTGACTGCAATTACCCTATCCTTTAACAACTATCATTTTCATTTACTGTTAATAAAAATTAAAATATTACAGGGACAAACTTGTTCTTAAGTTGAAACTCGAGTGTAACCGTTCCTAATTTTTCAAAAGATGATAGGATATATAAGTGTGGAGAGAATCAAATACAGAATAGAAGCATGGAATTTTTTACAAATAGCCCATGCTTAGGAGAAAGAAACCTATGATGTTTCAGTCTGACTTGGACCATTGACTAGTCGATGGTTTCAGTTTAACTTGGACGGACTGAAACATCATAAGTTTCTTCTGTGTGCTGATTATTTGTGTATTGTTCCAGTCATGGTACTGTTCATTTTTGCTCTTCATGCATTTTTTTTTTTTTAGCTATCACAGCATGTAGAGAAACAAGTAATTTTTAGCTTTATGCAGGTTTGCTATGTCAGTTTGCATTTATGGAGTGCCCAATATCTACCAGCAGTTTTCTGTATGTGATAAAAATTCACGCATGTGATCAGTGGGATTGACAAAACAATGAAGATTTCTGAGAGATTACTACACCTACCATGGGCCTGGAACACTGCATAACAAAGCCAGAAACCTATTGTATTTGACTGCATAGATATTCTTAAAATTTGATTAGGTTTTTAGCTGCCCTCTTCCACTACTGCATTTTTCAAATTGTTGACTTAGTCACATGATTCTTGTGTGGGGGAATACATGTATTATGTGGGCAAAGGGGGAGAAAAAATTAACGATAATGTGAAGATAAGCTACCTCTCCTGTTGCACTTGCTAATAGTGGTATTTATCAATGTCAAAATATGATCACATTATCATAGGGAAGTATTAAAGTAATAAAGGATCATACTTTGGTAGGAGAATGCCCGGAGCGGTTTGTGTAATCAGCTTTTTTTCGAGGGTGAGGAAGATAACTAATTCCTTGAACCAAAAGCCCATTACCAGCACATTTAGTAGCACATTTTATTTTAGTAGTGTACTTGTACCTTACTGGAACTGAAATTGTATATAAATAAGCCCATGTTGGCAAAATGGTTTTATTAACAGTAGTACTTGCTGCACTTTATGCCTTTCTATTGTTATTCACATTATATATAGTACTGTTCATAAATAAGGCAGATTGTTTCTCAACACAGATAAATCATCTGCAACAACAGCTTCAAGTGTTCCATGGCAGCCACCAGAAGATAATGAAATTGAAAGGGAGTCTCTGCCACAGCGAGACAGAAATGGAGTTGGTAGAATAACAGTGTACCTATGCTCTGTGTCCGCCCTGTGCCTTTTGACTATAGTGTTTTGAATAATTTATGATGCTATGTATGTTAAATTTATTATAAATTAATAAAATAAAACTAAAATTTTTCAATTTTATATTAAAGGTGTATATACGTATAACTTTTTTTATAATTAAGTACGAGACTTTACAAAAGTGTGAATAAATAACTTTTACTAGACATTAGTATACAGCCTCTCCTCACTTAGCGACTTGTATTGGGTACTTGGTTTACTGATACTCGAATTAGGATCGGGGCTCTCTGGCCAGAAATACATACCTAATACGTAATGTATAATACGACTGTTTTTCTCTATTTATTACAATATACAGTACACTACTGTATAAACATTTAAAAATATACTAAGAATGTTATAAATGGTGCAAAGGTGACATTAAAACAATATCAAAGATGGTTGACACAAATCCACTACCATTATAGCATACCCCTTGCTTAGTGACGAATTCGTTTACCGATGTGGTTTTTGGAACGGAACTCAGTCGTTAAGTGAGGAGAGGCTGTACTGCATCATTATCAAAATACTGTATAGTATTTATTTTAATATAATTAATGATGAATAAAATGATATAATTTTTGTATGTAATACACTGGAATCTTGGTACTTGAACTTATTTCATTCCAGAAGGCTGTTTGAGTACCGAACTAATTTTTCCCAACCAATTTTTTTTTTTGGGTTGGCTGTTATCATTAATCTTCGTAGGCCCCATGATGACTTATTTGTACAAATCATATAAAAAAAAAATACACCAAAAAAGGACAAGAAACACAAAATAGTTTACAGTGAAGTTCTGGCAGGTCGGGTTTGTTTGGTCGAGTGCCAAGCAAATGGTCAACTACCGATGATTTTTTTACGAAACAAAGCCTTCGAATACCAAATTTTTCAAGTACCAAGGTTCCACTGTATAACACTAGACTGAATTTTGATGTGTGGTTTTCGACTGCTTGTAAAGTTCAATATATTTGATTTCCATCGATTTTTGATGTATTGGTGTTTTAGTTCTTTTATATTGTTGATGTGCTCTGTATAGTACTGTATAATAATATATTTTTATACTTTTGGAATTTGATAAATATATTGGTAAGAGTTTGTCGCACAACTCTATGTATCATCTGTTCAGTGAAGTAAGTGTGTGTTTGTGAGACACTGTGGATAGTAAAGTTAAAATCAACAGTGTAGTAATAAATATGAATAACTCTTGTACAGTATCTGCATGGAAATAATGGAAATATCAAGACAGTGATAGTGTGAATGATGGTTAAGGTGTTTCTTTTTACATCACCTTACCTTGGTGGGAGACAGCCAGTGTTAAAAAAAATACTTTTTAGTCTGCTAGAGATCTTCAAGTGTCAGAGAGTCATCACCTAAGTATATTTGCGATATTTTCATGCTATTGTAAAGAGATGGGATGATAAACAATTCTTAATAATACTCAATTTTAGACTGATACAGATACCATCAAATTAGCCAATACCCGGTGATACTATCAAAATTAGTGATACTAGTACAGTGGACCCTCAACCAACGATGGCATCGTATAACGTTAAATCCGACTAGCGATACATTTTAACGCAAAAAATTTTTGCTCTCGGGACTAGCGCTAAAAAAACTCGGGACTCAACGCGATTCGTTCCGTTCGAGACGCATCCACTTGTGGCCTGGCACACCTCACTAGTCCCGTGGGTTGCCAGTGTTTTTACAAGCACCCGCAGCCACTGCCGGTCCCATCCAAACATACGTTGGAACATTTCATATTATCACCAGCATTTTAAGTGATTGGCACCTGCAAAAATAAGTCCACCATAGGCCCATAGAAAGTTCTAGTGCCAACCTTACAGCAAAAAAAGGGTGAGAATTACTATGGATATGAAGAAAGAGATCATTGCTAAAGTATGAAAGTGCGACGGTGCGTGTCTCCGAAAGCTGGCCAAGTTGTACACAAAACTCCAATCAACCATTGTTACTATTGTAGTGGAGTGCGTTGTCTCTGAGTGGCCCAAGTTGTACACAAAACCCAATCAACTTTGCCTATAGCTGATGCCAAGAAAAACGCAACAAGGAAAGCTGTTCTTGCCAAAGGTTGCAACAATATTTTCAAACTGAGAATCGCAAGTGATAGAAGATGGTGAGAGAGAGAGTGTTATTGGTGTGGATAAACGAAAAAACGATAGCAGGCGATAGCATCTCTCAAGCGATCATATGTGAATAAGGCTGGGAAGTTGCATGACGATTTTTAATTAGGAAAAATGTCTGCAACTGAGTGGTGATGAGAGTGAAATTTAAGCGCCAGCAAAGGTTGGTTTGAGAGATTTTAAGGAATCGTAGTGGCATTACCATAGTGTGTTAAGCATGGTATGATGCGCTGCAGTTCGGACCAAAATAAGCAGCTGAATAAAAATAGTGCAGAATTCAAGGAGTACATAGTAAAGAAAAATTGAAACTGAAACACAGTGTTTAATTATGATGTGAAACAGGCTGTTTTGGAAGAAAATGCCAAGCAGGACTACATTATCAGGGGGGAAAAGGCGCTCCTAGGACATAAGCCTATGGAAAGACAGGCTAAGTCTGTTGATGTGTTGCTAATGCTAGTGGTGATTGCCAAAGTTGAAGCCTTTATTTGGTGTGTTGGGTCACTCTGAAACTCCCAGAGTGTCAGGAAAAACAATGTCCCTCAAGGCTAATTTGTGTGTGATGTGGAGGGCAAACAGTAAGGCATGGGTCATATAGTCCTTTTTATGACTGGTTACACCATGCATTTGCCCCCACTGTGAAAAATTACCTCCTGGAAAATAAATTGGACCTTAAGTGCCTCCTGGTATTAGACAATGCTCCTGGTTTCCTTCAGACGTGGGGCCCAGATGCGGACTTTCTGGGGACCATGAGCTTCATTAAGGTCAAGTTTTTGCCCTCCTAATACCACTCTCTCCTGCAGGTCCTGCCAAACTTCAAAAAAATCTACACAAAGCTATGTTTGAAAGGTGCTTTGTAGTGACCTCTGAAAAAACTCAATTGACTTAAGAGAGTTTTGGAGAGATCACTTTAGCATCCTTCCAATTGTGTAAACATTATAGGTAAGGCTCGGGAGCGAAGTTGACTAAGAGGACCTTGAACTCTGCTTGGAAGAAATCTGTGGCCCCAGAATGTGTAGACAAATGGGATTTTGAAAGGATTTGAGGCTAACCCTGAGAGCCCTATGCCAGTTGTGGAATCAATTGTGGCATTGGGGAAGTCTTGGGGTTGGAGGGTTAAATGGGGAGGATGTGGAAGAGTTGGTGGAGGAGGGACAATGAAGAATGCTAACATGATGAGCTGCAAGATCATCTTCAACAACAAGAGGCCAGACCTGAGGAAACTGCTTCAGAGGAGGGGAGAGAGAAATTGAAGAAGTTGTCTACTTCAAAGATTAAGGAAATGTGTTGCTATTGGCTTAATAAAGTGCAAACCTTTTTTTGATGAAAATCACCCTCGGCACAGCTATTGCAAGCCGTGCTGGTGACTATTACACTGACAATGTTGTGAAATACTTCAGGAATGTCATAAAGGAATGGGAGGTACAGGCCTCTATGGACAGATATGTTGTGCGACAGAGGTCCAGTGACTCTCAAGCTGATCCTAGTGGCATGAAAAGAAGGGAAGTAACCCCGGAAAAGGACTTGACACCTCAAGTCCTAATGGAAGGGGATTCCCCTTCTAAACACTAACACCATCCACACACACCCCTCCTCCCATCCCATCAATCATCACCAGATCTTCAATAAAGGTAAGTGTCATGTAATTGTACATGTCTTCTTCAGTTTGTGTGTATTAAAATTAATATTTCATGTGGTAAAATTTTTTTTTTTCATTACTTTGGGGTGTCAGAAACGGATTTATTTGATTTCCATTATTTCTTATGGGGAAAATTAATTCGACCTAACGATGAGCTCTCAGGAACAGATTAATATCGTTGGTCGAGGGTCCACTGTACTTGGTACACCCCCTGCTGTTGTATACTGGTTATTCATATAGATTACATATACTGTCAGTGTATGATTTGCTCAATACAATAATTATGCATGTTCAATTTTTAATTTATTTTTTATTTGCTTAATTTTCCAATTCATTTATATACTAATTATTATTACTACATTCATGGCAAGGTACTGAACTCATAGCGGTTATACAGTGCTTGGAAGTCAATCAGATTCAAAATAGGGGAGGGTAGGTCCAATTCCTAGAATCAAGAGTCCTTCACCAGCCCCTAACTTCAGAAATTTAGTTTGCTCTCACTGTGCACACAGCCTTCAAGGGATGGGAGGAGGGATGGAGGTTCTTCATTCTTGGAATTAACCCATCTTCTCATCCTTGAAATCAAACCCAATTAAATCCCATTTTCTATGGACTGTATGATCCCTGTGAGTTTAGCACTTCATACAGTACTATCTGCAATGTCTCATGTGTAATACTGATTGTGGAATATTACTTCATGATACTGTGTATTATGATGAATGTAACAGGGAAGCCTAATCCAAGAAAGAAAACAGCATTTAGCCTAAAATAGATTGAATATATTATATTAGTTTATTTACTAGAGACCATATTCCTTTACTGCTTCTGAGTAATTATAATAAGGGCATCTGGGCGAGTACAAATGTGAAGCACATATGTCTGGTACTCAGCAGATGGAGGATGAAGCCTCCACTACGTCTTGCACTGAATGACCCACGTCGGTTGAGTGCTGAACATGAATTATTATTATTATTGTTACTGCTTCTAGATGTTGTGATGACAACTTGTATTATTCATGCTGCTTGATTATTATTATAATCATGGGGAGCGCTAAACTCGTAGGATTATACAGTGCCTGTGGGGGGATGGAAGGCATTTAGGCTCAATTCAGGGAACTGGAGCACAGATCCAATTTATTTATTTATTTATTTATTTATTTATTTAAAAATTTGAGCACACATACAGAGGTACAAAAAATACAGATAAGAGCAGCATGCCAAAGCCACTTATACTATGCATAGCATTACGGGCTGGCTTAAAATTAACTTAAGATTAACTAAGCAATGATGAAATCAGTGCCATAAAACTTTATGTAAAAGATTACTATAAAGCACAATGTGAGTATTACAAAGACAGGTCATATGGTTGCATGACATGTTGTACATTCAGTAGAATGGGAGTATT